GGGTTCAGTCAGATTCGTCCTCATCCATCCCGACACCCTCCTTCCTGATTCCCTCCACACCCCCATACGGAATCCGGCCCTTCATCCAGTGGCCGCCGAGCCAGTCGACCCTGCACAGACCCGCCCCAGTCCCCGACGCGAGCAGCCCCGCACGCCCGAGCCCGTTCGCGGCGTTCCACACAACGCGCTGCACGCCCACCTCGCGCGGCCATGCACCCGTCCCGACTGGCAGCGCAATTTTGTTCCGCGACGCTGTCGGCCTGTCTCGCATTTCCTGTGTCGCGAAGTGCACACACGGTGAATATGACAAATGCAAGGTAGGAAGAAGGACGTGCCTTCGGGAGGAACTGCTCGAGCATCCGGTACTCGCCCAGCTTGCGACTATAGTCGAGCTGGTATATCTTGTGGACAAGGAACGGCTGAGCCGCGTCAGACGCGTGAGCTGCCTGAAGCCACTGGACTGGACGTACCACAATCCCTCCGCGCCTGGTCGAACGCAGTGTATTCGTCGTGAGGCAACTGCCGTCCGTGACGCCAACGGCGAGCTGCGGATGATAGTCCGAAACATCGACGCTCTGCATGCGCGCCAGACAGTCAGCACCGGTGCGAGCCGCGTACAGTAGTCATACCCATGCAGGCCCATCCGGCTCCAGCAGCGTGTGGCCCCGCCCAAGCATGCTCGGTGAGATGGAGTACGCCTTCACGATGTTTTCATGATCGATAGTAATCGCGCTGCTGCAGTATGTCGAGTAGCACAGTGTGTTAATCACATCTGCGACGGCGCATCAGTGGCCAAGATGTCTAGGAAAAGCGCGGCGTGTACCTCGCGTTCTATTTATCACGTTCCTCGTACCGTCCCGAAGGTCTGTCAGGCACTCGACCCCGTCGTAGCCGCCGCTTGCGATCACCGTCGGGTCGTCTGTCGTCTGTTCGCCGCTGGCAGACACCCCTGGAACGCGTACCCACGCTAGCGCCCGGATTGCCGACTGGTGAACGGAGATATAGTGGGTGGGGAGCAAGTCTGGGAAGCAGAAGCGGGTGAACGGAATTACTCGATAAGAATCCCACCCTCCACCTACTGAACGGCGCGTCATGACGTGACTTGAGCCCCTCCGACAGGTTGTACACCGCAATCGAGCCTTGCGGAGTATGTGAGCGAATCCAACCTTCGAAATATATTTACAGACCATTAGTACAGCCCAGGGCGACCACTTCACTGTTTGCCCAATCCAACGCCCAGAACAGCGTTTCGTCAAGCGCCAGGCGTATCAAAGGCTCGGCGAATTTGACTAGAAATTTCTGAGTTAGTTTGTCCTTGGGTGGAAAGACATAATGACATACCACAGATAGGTTCTGAGGAGTCGGATTCCGGTCGAATACTCGCAGGATCTGGGATTGCATACAGCGAGAACGACCCATCCTCGAATGTCCCGCCAATAAGACCCAGCTTGCGTGTTGTGGGTATGCCGTTTCCGTCAGCAGCCTGCGACAGTAATATATGTGGGCAACCCGCATGTCAGGCGGTCTGAGAAGGAAGCATACCTGCACTGCGTCATTCGACGGTAGCGGACACCACTTCAACTCAAACGCAGGCCCACTATCAATGCACACCACCATCTCACATCTCATCTCACCATGAAGCCGGTGAGTAGTCTTGCTACCAGCTTCGCGGTTCACGTTAGCAGGATTATCCCTGTGGATGGCATTCGGTGGGGACGACAGGCTCCAGATCTCAATGCAGGCATGTGCAGGCTTCTTCACGCGCACGCCGATGAGAGGCTCGTGCATTTGGGACGGGAACGGTGCAACGGCGAGGTACTGCTTCTGGCCGTAGTCTGCATGGACGAATGAGCTGGAGTGGACCGACCGAGTTCCATAGCTAGATCACCCACACGCACGGTCGTCCGGATGGATGGGACACCAGTCCAGACCCCACACGGGCGCACCAGCGTTGAACACATGTGAACTACTGCCTGGAATGAAGTCCGCTAGGAGAAGAAGTCACGGCCAAACCAACTTTCAAACAGTATAGACGCAAACCTATCGGCAGTGTGTCAAACATGGTCATCTCAATGCGAGTCTGCTGTCCGAAAGGACCGAAAGAGCATGCAATGGGCGGCGGGGGCTTCGGGAGGCCTTCGTTTGTGGTCACAACGTCCGAAGGCAAATAAGACGACGCATCTCTTGCATTCTCGTCAAAGGCAGACAGAAGACGTGACATGGTCGACGCACTGCAGACTAAGAATCTCGTACGAGCCCACGGGCACAGCCCGATGAACCCTGGGCCTGCGATTCCTCTCCTTCTCACCTCCGTCACCCTGATTGGCCTCCTTGTACCATCCTCTGTCTTCCAAAAGCTCCCAGAGAGGGCCAGGGCCGACATTGTATCCGTGCGCCTTGTTGATCCGGTCTGTCATTGAGGTGTCGACGGACCAGCTGCTCGTCGACACGACGGTCTCGGGCTCAAAATGTGCGGGTAATTTTGCGAGGCGCTCGGTGGTCCCTGCCTTGCGGTAGATCGGTCCCGCCCTGTGGCGATGGTGAACGCTCGGCAATGCGTACATCTGGCGCGACGCAGAATGAGATAAGCCCGGGGCAAGCGACACGGTGTTCTTTCGTTTGCCATTCGCTGAAGTCCTAGGCCTGCGTCCCGCAGCGTTGGGAAAGTCCAACACAGAGTCATCGCGTTCGGAAATGGCAAGGTCATGGCTGCCGTCCTGCTGGTCTTCGTCCTCTTCGGCGACGGCGTCCATGTCTTCCACGTCTTCGTCGACCTGGTCCTCCGCTGCATTATCCGGGGCAAAGTCGCTACCGCTGCCGTCGTCATCGTCATCTACAGGGAGTTGCTGGCTGGAAGGACCTGCTTCTGGCCCTTCGTCATCGTAGTCAAAGAGTGCGGCGTAGTTTGGACGAGATGCACGCGAGCGAAGCTGGCGGGCCATGTCGGAGAGGGTGCTAGTTCCCGTTGAAATAGCGTAGACGTCTACCAGGCAGTGCGCGAGTGCTAAGATCTAAGAGTTTGACATGGACGAGACGCATTTAAAAAAGGTTGAGCGTGGAGAACGAGGCGCGGGATAAGCGCCCTTCTATCCACTGCACGTAGGCCTATAGGCGCCCACTCAATTACCGTAGATCCTCCTACTAGTACAGCGTTCTTCCTTCTGGTCTCGTTGCTGCAACGCACTGGATCAGAAAGGTAACCACCGGTAACCTGGCAGGAGAGGCTCAGTGATATCGTTGGACGTTCTGAAAGAGCGCGTCTCCGAATTCCATGTACATCTATAGCGACCGAAGGTGTGGAGGGAACTCCGGACACGTTCAGCAGCTTTAGCTTCTCGTCCATGTCCACAGCTGCCCATGTCTGCACGACAACTTCTTCCTAAGACCACCAACGTCCTCGCTCTCCGCAAATCATCCACACCGCACAAACCAGTGTACCACGATGTTGTCCTCGAAGAGCGCCCCCTTGCCCCGCTGAAGCAAGGCCAGGTGCTCGTCAAGCTCGGCACCGTCGCGTTCAATCACCGAGACGTACGCCTCGCCTACTCGTCTCGATGTGTCTGCCATCCTTCTCATCCACGTCTAAAAGGTTTGGATTCGGATGGGCCAGTACCCCGGCCTCGCATTCGGAAGTGTACTCGGGGCCGACGGGGCAGGTACGCGCCCAATTAAAGGTCGACGCACTAGTCTCGCGCGCGGTCTCTCACGACGCTCCCCTACAGGCACTGTCGTCGCATCAGCAGATGCCGCCGACTCTCTACTCCAGAAGCGCGTCTTCCTGGTTCCCATGCGCGGTTGGGAAAGCCATCCCGACGCCCCCGAATCCACGTACGTCTTGCGAACCACGGCGCTGCGCCACTCGTGCGGGATGCACATCTCACGTCATGTGCCATGTAGCTTCGCCATCCTGGGCGGCGGGAGCGTAGTGCCCCTGGGAACGTTCGCGCAGTACGTCGTCGTCGAGCGCGACCAAGTCGTCCTCACCCCAGACCACCTCGACGACGAACACGCCGCTGCATGGCCGCTCGGCGGTCTTACCGCGTGGAGGTTTGCAGCCTGCCCCGCCCAGCTCCAGCGTGACTGATGAGCCTACGTGTGCGGACAGGGCTGCGGTAGTGAACGCACAGGTAGAGAAGGGGGATAACATCTTGATCACCGGTATTGGTGGCGGTGTCGCATTGCTCGCCATGCAGATATGTCTTGCGCGGGGCGCGACCGTGTATGTCACGAGTGGCTCCGAAGAGAAAATCCGTAAAGCTATCTCGCTCGGCGCGAAGGCTGGTGTAAATTACAAGGCCGGTACGCAGCTCCGTTGGTTTCCGTTGGATATGTTGTTGACGCGGACATTGGCAGAGGATTGGCCAGCCCAGCTAGGGCGTATGCTCAAAGCCAACGGCGGCGAAACGTCGTCTGCGCTTATCAGTGCCGTCATTGACTCGGGCGGCGGCGATATCATGGGCCGTGTAACCAAGATTCTCAAGAACGGCGGCAGGGTAGTCGTCTACGGGATGTACGCTTGCTCTCCTGTCTGGGCAATAAAAGTATATATCTCACCCTGCGCGCAGGACGGCTAGCCCGAAGGTGACCTTCACGATGCGCGAGGTACTCAAGAACCAGCGGCTTATCGGTCAGCACGATCATTTCGCAGTGTTTCTGTCCGCTCTAAACCCTGCATTCCGTTGGTAGGGTCCACTATGGGTTCGCACAAGGACCTCATCGACGCGACTGCCTTCCTCGCGGCGCACCGCATCGTTCCTGTCGTATCACACATTCTCGACGGCGGGCTCGAGGCAGCAGAGGAGGGATTTGAGCTGCTCAAGCGCGGAGAACAGTTCGGTAAAGTTGTTTTGCGTGTCGACAGCCTCCGATCCAGCGCTGTGGGCCATCTTGCAAAGCTGTGACTTGTGGCTCGCAATTGTCATGTCCAATACAATGCCTTGCTAACTTATTAATAGGTATGCTGTATGACACCTCAGTGTATCGGACATTTCATTGCTAATGGGCGCATGGTGTAGTTGGTTATCACATCCGCTTAGCATTGTCGAAAAAGTCAGTGAGTATGCGGGGGGTGCTGGGTTCAATTCCCAGTGCGTCCAGAGTTTTTAGGCATTGTTTCAAGCAGTGGGGAGTTCACACAGACCAGAACAGCCCCAGATGTCCTCGGAAAACAAGATTTCTAGTACTTACGAACCTATGCTACGACAGCAATCCGGATGTGCAAAGCCATAGAACCAGTCCTAGCATACCGTGATTGCCACTCACGCCACTCGCTCGACGGCGCGCTCCAGTTGCACTGATGAGCACAGCGCTCAGAACAAATCCGAGCCCGGGAACAGCTGCGACTCCCCGCCCTCGATCTCGTCCTCGTCCTCGCTCTCTGGATGCATCTCGAGCGGCGTGGACCGGACAAGCGGATCCTTGGCCATACTCATGCGCCGGCTGAGCGGCAGCCGTGCCTTTGAGTCAAATGCGGAGGACGCTGGCGAGAGCGGGTCGGCATACACGGGGCCCTCGTCCTCTGGCGACTGCTCGAAGGGGTCTGGCGTCTCTGCGCGCGGTGGCGCAGACGGGGGTGAATGGTGTTGTGTGTGGAGGTGACTGTGACGTTGTGGACGGAGAGGTGCGACGTGTGGTTGTGATGGTGCTGGCGCCGGAGTCTGTTGTCTCCGACTCTGGTACTCGAACTAAACAAAGTCTTAAGTAAGGGTCGCGAGATACATTGGAGGTAGCTTGAACGTACCGCCTCGAAAACCTCTTCTCTGCGGCGTTCGCCGATGTCCTTGTCGATACAGTAACAAATATACAATGTATCCGCACTGCAGGCAATTCATGAGTATATGGTGTATGATATACATAGAAACTTACGTGTCTCTAACAAGACCAACGCAGAACAAGCCGACCAGCGCTGTGACGACTCCCGCGAGTAGAGCCGCTGACAGGGCCTCATCGGGAGCGTTCAAAGTGTGTGCGACGAATAGGTAGGTTATCAACGCGAATGGAAATGTGAGTGTTAACGGCGCAACAGTCAAAAGGGTCAGAGGAGCTACAACAGAATCAGGTTATGCCACTAGGACAGAGCGGAGGGAGACACTCACGTTCCGTCTTGAACCGCCTCCTGTAGTTGACCATGGCCGAGGTCTCCACGGCCGCCGTCAATGCGCGAGCGCGGCGCGCGCTCGGGAAGAACGCGTCGCCCGTCAAGCCAGTGTACACGAGCGCGTGCATGCTCAGCGTCCCCGTGACGTTATCCAGGTAACCCACAGCCATACCCGCTCCGACACTCACGAAACGAAGGTACGGTGGAAGATAAAGGGGGAGCACGCGTAGGGCGGTAATCAGTAGCCCCGTGAAGCGCAAACACGCGATGATCAGGGCGGAGAGGACAATCGTACCAAGCGAAGGCTGGCTCGATCGCATGAGCGCGGCGTGAATGGTGTGCGTCGAAGTCGGCGGTGGAGGGGGCAGCGCAGGGCTGGGCAGAATGTTAGTGACAATGACAATTTGAGCAAGATGTGATTCCGCTTACTCGGCAAAATACCATGCCCCGATTACTCCTGCACATGTCACGCGAAGCAGGCCTCGAGCAACACCCCAGCTCCATAGCCAAATTCCGATTGTCCCCGCGATAGCCCAGTTGGCCCATCCATGAATATGCCACTCCAATACACTGCTTCCTGTCGGACGCGAAAGGTAACCGATGAGGAGGAGACGGAACGCAAGTGTAACAAAGGGAATGGATGCTAAGAGAGCTGCAAGCAGCACGGCGGGAGAGAGCGCAAGGAGGAATGGGTTTGCAACCAAAACACGAGTGGTGAGAGTGAGCAGGGAAGATGCAGTATGGATATCCCGAGGAAGATCAAGCAGCTTGCGAGCAGTCAATGCACTCAAAGCTAATGGGACTAGCGAAAAGAGACGGAGACTGCGCAATATTAATTGAACACATGTCAATACGCAACGGAAGCGGGACTCACCCAACAGTCTCCCCCCATGTAGGCTCCTGCTCTGCATCCCACATGAAACTGCCTACAAACGCCCATATGGCAGAGATGAAGAGTGTTGCCGGTATGAACACCGAGGTTGCAATCATGACGGGCTTGACAAATATCCGCAAGAGAATAACATGTGCATATGCGACAATCGCGCTCACAAAGATGAGGATGGTTAGAAGTGGAACGGTGTGCAGGAGTGTGAGGTAGGGAAGGGGCGAGCGAGGACGTTCAGTGGGCTTGTGCGTGAGGAAAAGAATGAGAATGGAGAAGAAGAGACAGATGCTCAGGCCGGTACACCACATCGCTGTCCAGATAGAATCGTTGTACTTCCGCCGGCCACGGGGAACGTAGCGGGGATCTGGGAGAGAGAACACGTCCAATGGTCGTGTGCGCCCATCCCGAGGGAGTAAGGACTCTGTCAGCGATAAGGTAACGGCCGTGCGAGGCGGCGGCAGCGGATGCGGTGGTAACTGAGGGTGAAATGGAGAGGGTGAGCGCAAGCTGGGAAGATCGGGAGGTGGTGCCTCCGAGTCAACGGAGGAGGACGAGGGTGAGGGCGAAGGCGAGCGCAAAGGAGAAGCATGGGCCAACCATCCTTTAGAATTGTCACCTTCTGAGACCCCTAGCAATGGAATCGAATGCGATTGATGTCGGGATAGCGCTGGATCCTCTTCATCCAAGCGCAGATATGGATCGTCATCGTCGTCCGCACCGTATTCCTCGTCCCGCCTGACGGTCGCCTTGCTCATGGAGCTGGCACGTAGATGCGGATCGTCCAAGTCGTCGAGATCGGCCTCATTGACATTGCCTGCACGAGAACCGTTCTCGGTTGAGAAGGAGAAAAAGAGAGGCTGGGAGGAAGACAGACTAGATGCAGCGGTTTGTTGTCTGTTCAGAAATTGAGATGCGTACGCTGCAAACGAGGCAGCCATGGCCGATGCAGTTCGACCGAGATTGTGAGTACTCGAGTGGCCGTGCTCACAGCGTGTCCGTGCAAAATGAGGGGAGATGGGGGCGTGCGAGGGATATTACGGAGGGCGTGCGCGTCGCCAAATGCGTCAGTCACTGAGCGGTTGCTGCCCTTCCGCTCTCAGCGTCGACCGATTCCGATTGTACTGCCGACCAGTCTCTTGCAACCAGGTAGCTTCATTCAAGCTGCGTCCTTCGGATCCTATATTAATATCACCGTCTTGTGCTGCATGCTGTGCGGCGCCAGCTGCGCATGTGGGCGTCTCACAAGATGACTATAGGATGACTGGTTTGCTTCATTATAGCTGTGCCTGTTCGTCCCCGCTGGAGGGGTTCGGCAAGGCGCTCCTCGGACGAACCCAAAGCCTGAGATTGCTCAGTAGCTAAGTATGCAGATGGGTCTCGGTTCAATCCCTAATTTTTTTGTGTGGTGTGAGTGGCCCGCGGTGCGTTCACGTTGTTGTGGTCAGGATTTGTATGACACCTGCTTCAGGCCATACAGCAGACAGCGTACACCATCTCCAGTATCAAGTTGAGCGCATTTTTAGCCGAAGAGCTGGTACGTCGTTCACCAGTGCAGGCAGTTGACGTATCAAGAGATGTTCATCGTACATAACCACGTACAGTCCTGAAGAGGCGTGCCTTGGTACGCTGCTAATATGTACAGGTGTATTTCCTAACCGAGCACTGCATAGTCCTGACCTCAAGTAGCATCAACATCTTCCTGACAAAGGATTTGTTGACACCGACTAGAGGCTGGTGCCATGCTGTTATGTTGCTTTGGTGTTCAAAAAACATGACTCACGGGGAGCCATTCGATACGGACTCGGATACCTTGCACCGAAGTTGCACGGAAACTATGCCTCTTGTTTCACGTACGGCGAGTCTGCTCCTCGTATTTGCTCATCGTATTTGCATACGAGGAGCAGACTGGTTCCGAAATCTGCAATCCTGTAAGGAGCTTTTTCTTCCGTGTATCGTACACACTTATTTTCACCGTCAAAGGCGGACGACAACCACTTCGGGACCCCTGCAGGCCTTTGTCATTACCGTCTCCGCTCAATGTCAGGCGCGCTATGTGCAGTATGTTCACCGAATCCTCATTAACGTTTCAGCACTGATCACCACCACCAGAGGAACCCCTTATCGTCGCAGCAAGACACTCCTTGAATAGACATTGGGACCGAAAGGTATGCAAGCACCTTACTGGGTTGCTCTGGTTTTCAAATTCCTCCCCACTTCCTTCGGATATCCCAGCGTCAGCGGCTGTTGCTGGATTAGTGAATGTCGGCGTTGTCTCGGATGCTTGCCACTCGAGCTCACGTCGACGTTCACTGGTCAAGTACATGCAGTAAGGCTCAAGAGGCGGACGCCGTGTCAGGCTGTCTCGTATAGCACTCCACACGCTCTTCTCGATGGTCATGTCCTCTGAGACATACAAGTTCAGGTGTGCGTGATGCGCCGGCCTGTTCGGATGTGCCTCCGGTTCTGCTGGTATTGTCTTCTACTGTTGCGCGCCCTTCACTGCACGAGGCCGGGACAAGGGAACAAGACAAATTCGTAAGTACGTCCTGTCCAATCCGATTCTTACGAGTAGCAATTGACGCCAGTCTCAGTCCTCCGGTGCCCGTTCGGCGTATGCACACTGGCACGGGCGTTTGTTCCGACTAATAGTAATGGCTGTGCCAAGCGCCCGCAATGCTTCACGAAGACATACGATATGGCAATATGGTATGGCCACTGCATACACGCCGCGCGAGCGCCAGTTGGGCCTCCGAACCTCCTCCGCGAATCCTCTGCTTCTTTTCGGAATCCGCGTGCACCGGAGCGGTGAGCGCGTCTCCTGCTTCTCTCGCGTTTTCGGCGCTCGTGCCACACACTCACTCCGATCAAGGTTTAGGATTTGTCATTTCCGGGCTGTGCGGCACATCGTCGTTCGCAGGTGCGTATGTCATCCGGGGCGTACCCACTCCCACTTCGTGTCTAAAGCCGCCCGTCGTGCGATCTTCTCGGCGGGATGACTGAGCAACGGGGTTTCTCCACACGAGACTGCTTCTGCTTTCTCAGCCCGGTGGGCACGCACTCGGGTGGGTTGAATGCGACATCGACGCCGCTTGCTCAGGATGTCTCAGCCGGGG